CAGGTCAAGGCTCTCTTCTGTGCAGGTGTGTCAGGGTGGGACATGGAGGATGTCCCCAGGGTGCTGGTGGTGACCGGGGTCTCCTCCACCACGTCCCAGCTCACCCCAGCCCTCTCCTCCAGGACCAAATGTGACATCCCCATTCACACTGGAAGGGGACCTGGTGGAGCTCAGCAGTAAACTCTTGCTGTACTACACCCCCCAGGTGAGGAGAGCTGTCCCACCCCGCCAGGGACAGGGACAGGGACAGCGCTGGTGGACCCTGTGCCACCAGGGACATGTCCAGGAGCACGAGGATGCTCCCATGGTGTTCCTTTCCAGGCCTGCAGGAACAACATCTGCCTGGACCTCTCCCCCAGCCACGGCTTGGACGGGAGGCTGACGGGACACAAGGTGGTCAACTGGGACATCAAGGTAGGCTGGGCACAGGGTGACCTGTCCACCCCATGGCCTGGAGGCAGGGGGTCCCTGCTGGGTCACTGTCCCCTGGACCCTGCAGGGACTCTCACTGTGGTACTGTGTCCACTGTGACCCATCTGTCCCGTGGGTCCTCATCATCCAGGGTGGACACCGTGGGTGGTGCAGGGCAACAGGTGACTTTTGGGGAGCCCAGCTGCCATGGACCTCCTCCTCCTCCACACTGGTGTCACCACCCAGCAAAGCCTCTCCCTTTCCTCCCTCCTTCCCTCCCCCAGGACGTGGTCAACTGCGTGGGTGGGATGGGGGTGCTCCTGCCCCTGCTCGAGCAGGTGGTGTCCAAGACAGAGGAGCCCGAGGACGAGCAGGAGACCAACGACCTGGTGGGGCCGGAGCTGACGTCCTCCAGGAACGCCCAGGGCATGCTCATCCCGCTGGGAAAGTCCTCAGGTGAGGAGTTCAGGTGATGGGAAGCAGGAGCTGTCCTGCTTTGGTGATGGGTGGAGGTGACCATGGAGGGGTTCCTGGGCCTGGCAGGTGTCCACCACAGGCAGGAGAGGTCTTGTCTGAGGCTCCAGGAGTTATGGGGTGATGGAGGAACCCCTTGGGATGTTTTTATGACCCAGTTAGTCACAAACAAACAGTTCTGGGATGGTGAGGGTGGCTCCAGGAACCTTTGGCATGGGTGGAATGTGCTTTCTCCTGACATCCAGCTGCTCATTCCCAAGCTGAAAGCAGCAGAGACTTCCATCTCCTTAAATCTGGAGAAAGCAGGAGATCAGGGTGAAAAGTTTGGAGAGACGGCAGCTGGGATCTCCAGGCAGTTTGGGTTTGGGTGGGCCTGGGGCTCACAGCTCCCGGTGCCCTGCAGAGAGCAGGCTGGAGAGGAACAGCGTGGCCGCCTTCCTGCTGCTGGTGAAGAACTTCCTGCGGAACCACGCCGTGAACCAGGAGAGCCTGGTGCAGTGCCACGGGCCGGCCATCATCGGAGCGCTGCTGCACAAGGTCTGGGAGGCTCCCAAAACCCCATCCCACCATTCTTGCCATTCCCAAGGGGCTGGAAGTGTCCCCTGTCACCCACGGCAGGTCCCTGGCACGCTGCTGGACATGAGCACCCTGGTGGCCTCGCAGATCCTCATGGAGCAGGTGGCCTCCGAGGGCAGCGGGTTCCTGCTGCACCTCCTCTACCAGCACCTGCTCTTTGATTTCCGCATCTGGAGCAACAGCGACTTCGCCGTGCGCTTAGGTGGGAGCAGGGAATGTCCATCCCAGGGGATGGGACACTGACACCCATGCCATCCATGGGATCCTGACACCTGCTCCCTGCAGGTCACATCCAGTACCTGGCCAGCGTGGTCAAGGACCACAAGCAGCGCATCCGCAAGAAGTACGGGGTGCAGTTCATCCTGGACTCCATCCGGACCTACTACGGGTCAGCTGCCCCACGGGGCTGGAATCCTGGAATTCCAGGGTTCCTGGAATGCCTGGAATCCCGGGGTGGGACTGGGGATGGGCTTCACCCCTGGGAGCTGTGGTTTGGCTAAACACCATTTTTGTGGGATAACGTCTCTCCTACCAGAGTGGGAGCGTTGTGGTGGGTGCAGGACCTTCCATGTCCCATCCCAGCTCCAAAATCCACCCCCAGCAGCCACCAAGAGTGTGGTGGCTTCTGCAACAAGCAGACCCAAATATGTGGGGTGGCAGAAGATCCCTGGAGCTCCTCAGGCTTTGTGCTGGGATTTGGGACGATGCTGGCAGTGGGTGGTGGGTGACAAGGGACACGTCCCCATGCATGTCTACTTATCAACACCTCCAGGGAGAAGACCGCAGCCACCGATGACATCAGGACGGTGCAGACGTCCCTTTTCAGCCTGGTGAAGGATTTCTTCTGCAGGAGCTTCTCCGGGGAGGAGATGCAGAGCCTGCTGAACTACCTGGCAGGGGCACAGGATGAGCAGCAGGTGTGTCACCGGCCACGCCGTGGTCCCCACACCCCTCAGCGAATCATGGGATGGGGAAAAGCCATTGAGATCCCAATGGGGCACTTGGAGGGCAGTGGACAACCATCCCGGTGTCCTGCAGGTGTGTGGGGCGCTGGAGGTGATCCACAGCCTGCTGAAGGGCTCCCCAGCCCAGGAGCAGCTCTTCGCCTTCCTCTTCGAGCCGGGCCACGTGGAGCTGCTCTTCTCCCTGCTGGTGCAGAAGAGGTTCTCGGATGAAGTGAGGGAAAGGGTCTTCAAGGTAGGGCAGGTCCCCAGCGCCCACCTCCTGCTGCCCCCAGCAGGGATGTCACAGCCAGGTGGCCTCCTGTCGCTGTCCCACCAGGTCCTCTACAAGATGCTGAAGTACGAGAAGGTCCCCGAGCGCAGCAAGAGCCGCCTGAAGCTGAAGGACATCGGGTACCACGGGCTCATCTCCTACCTCAGCGACATTCCCGGCTCCATGCTGCTCTTCCGCTGCCTCTCGGAGCAGGTCCTGGGGGCAGGTACCGTGTGCCAGAGAAAGCAGGCCACCATCCCAGCCACGTGCTGCCTTCCCATGAGGCTCAGCTGGGCTTGGTGGCTTCTGGGGGACAGCAGGACGTGTCCCACCACTGTGCTGACTCTCCTTGTCCGCAGACCCTCCCAACTACAAGGACCTGGTGGCCGTGGTGTACCTGTCCCACCGGGCAGAGCTGAGCATCCGGCTCGACATCTGCCGCAAGGTGAGCGGGGCAGGACACAGAGGGAGGTGACAGAGGTGTCACCCTGGGTTTGAGCTCCTTGGACACCCAGCTGTGCCCTAAAATGGTGGCTGTGGGGATGGCGGTGACACAGATCAGCCAGCATGGAGATGGTGCAGCTCCAGCACCCCATGGTGGTTTTGGAGGATCTGGGATGCTGCTGTTCCTGGAAGAGGGGACAGAGGTGTCACCCCAGGGCTGAGCTCCTTGGACACCCAGCTGTGCCCAAAAATGGTGGCCGTGGGCTTGGCGGTGACACAGATCTGCCAGCATGGAGATGGTGCAGCTCCAGCACCCCATGGTGGTTTTGGAGGATCTGGGGTGCTCCTGTTCTGGGAGAGGAAGAGCTGAGGCAGCAGCATCCAATGTCCTTAATTTCCCATCTCCTTTTCCTTCTCCTGCAGCTCTTCCACCTGATCTATGCGCAGCAGGACCTGGTGAAGCAGCTGGCCAGGCTGGCTGGCTGGCAGGACACGCTCACCAAGCTCTACGTGAAGGAGTCGTACGAGTGCCGCCAGCCCAGCCTG